TATGGCCCACAACCATATTAAAGGTTTTACTTCTGGCTCTTGAGATCTTGCAAGTTGGACACCCCTATCTAGACCGAGTTCCCGTGCTGGCAATATTAGAGAACTCTTTTTAGGTGGATTGAAAAAAAATGTATGAATTAAGAATCCTTATTACATTAATAATAATGAGATCTACAATTATTTCAATTACTATTGCAATTTAATGTAAAAATTCCTTATAATCCTTTGTTAAAGTGCATTATTTTTTAATATTACTTTATTGTAAAAAAATATATTCAAAATTAAAACTGAAAACAAATTGTCAAATTGTACTTACAATAAAGATACCGTTTCCTGATCAAAATTCACATTTTTTTTTAATTTCAGCTTATGCTTACCAGAAAATTTTGATCTTCGTTCTCAGCTAGCTACTGGCTCATATTTAAAAGAATTTCGAAATACTGTCTCAGAACTAAAAGAAAGATACTTACCATTTCACAATGGAGAAAAGCCATGGATGGGAAAATCAGGTTAGTATAATTTCTTAATATTTATATATTGCAAAATGCTTTTATGCATTACAATAAAATATGCTATAATTTATGTGAGTGTTTATGAGGACTTAAACTACTTCACATTCTTTAATAAAATAACAATTCTCATTTAGTTTCTCAAACAATTTGTGAAATGGTTAATATAGTTTCTTTAATAGTAAATTTATATTATTTCATTGTTGCTTTTTCATAATATTATCACTAAAATAAAGTAAAGAATTTTTTATTTTGAGTAATGATAATATTTAATGATAACCTTTAAGAATTCTCAATTTTGTTTTCCTAAGCTGCTACGTCTTCTATCCATGGGTATTAAACTTTCCCTTGATTTTATTTTACTTTCTTCCACTGTTAATTAACCTACTTTCTTAATTTATATTTATTTATACAGAATTTGTCATTTCTGGTTATTGCAGATTCTTTTAATTTAGTACTACCGCCATGGCTCTGTCAACCGTATGTTAGGATTCCTCCAGAAGAGCACCTTAAAAAGATGGAAGAAAAACAAAATAGAAATGCAGATATTAATCAATACGGAGAAGACCCTGTGCAAGGAGATGCAGAGAAAGAAGCAAGTTGCATTAATTTTATTTTTACTATTCAAATATATTGGTATTTCTAAGCTTTGAACCACTTGGAGGAGCCATCTTCAACTTTGTATTCTTTCCTTTCTTTTTGCCACCAATATATTTACAGTCTCTTAGCAAAATATGGAAAACTGTAAATGTGGTTTGTTTTTTTTATAGTAAGAGCAGTGACCTTCCTCACTCTTTAGCTCCTACTTTCTTATCTTCCAAATTTTGCAATAACATATATTTTCAATGTGTTTATTCTTTTAAGAATCAGGATGGAGGTTCACACAAACGACCAAGAGAAAGCAGTGTTGAATCAACTGAAAGTAAAAATATGTCAAGACGTAAATTGAGGAAACTAAGAAGATTGAAACATAATCCTGACAAGATATTTGGCACAAGACAAGGTGTAGAAAAATGTGTGAAATGCCCTAATCCTTCGGTAGGTGGACCAGTGTTCATTTGCATAAAGATATATATGAATGT